ATTAATTAAATAGGTTAATGTCACGATATTATATAATTTATGATCACAAGAATGCACTAGTCACAAATCACATTACGTCACAACCATAAAAACACAAAATTTGGGATACAATTGCAAATTTAGAGCATGTTTGGCTAAGATTAAAATTCAATTAAAATTGAAAATATAGTTGTTATTGGGTCTCACTCGTATAATAAAAGTCAACAATAACGACTAATTTTTCAATTTTAATCCTATTTTATTCTCTACCAAAACACTCCTTTTTTTATGATTACAACCCCACATCTCCCCTACCTCACACCAGCCAACTCCACCATCTGGCACCACTCAAATCCTCACTGCCCTCCCCTCAAATCCACCACCACCTACACCAACAGCCACCACTACCTCCTAAAATTCAATTGCTACTCCACCTACATCTCCAACTAACCCACTCAGATACACGCCGCCACCACTACCACCACCACCATTGCACCGCCACCACCTACCCCAACAATCCAACATATAGCCTATACACAGACTCACAGTCCAAATCACACCACTCAGACACACGGATGGTAACATGCCAACACAACCACTCATGGCAGAGTTAGAGTTGTGGGGACAAATTTCTATAACTAAAATCGTGGAAGCAAAATCTTTAAGTACAAAATTTTAATTGTAGGGACAAAATCGATAACTATAAGGTTTAGTTACTTATTTCTGTGTTCTTATACCGCAGCTTCTCATTTCTGGATGGAGTCCTATCACATTGGTGCTACCAAGCTGTCCTGGATATAAATTTGAAACTTCAAGCTTCACACCCGAACACGGGTTCTATCCCCATTTCAAACAACCTTATGCATAAAACAAGTGAAATAAGTGTCAAGGCTCAAACTTAGAAAAAGACAAACTAGCATTATCCCCACAAGTTGAAGAATCTAATACCAAAGATACAGAAGATCTAAGCATATACCTCTGAAAAGTAGGACCATATAATCAGTAGATAAGCCAAATGTTAATAGTTAATTAACCACGAATTAAAGGCTATAAAGCATGTGAATATATAAAGCTAGAGCACTAGCATGGTGGTACAATTATTCCATAATATTTAATTAGACCCTATAATTATAATAAATTATCTTTATTACTACAAAATCATATAATATGCTTGACAGATAGAGAATGTTAATGGGAATGTGGGTGCCTGGTGGTGGGGGACTATAAAAGTGATAACTAGTACCCTCAAGGGTAACAACTCTTGGCTAGAGACAAAGCGCCGCGTATCAGCCTCGGTTGGCACTTCCGAATAATAAAATTCGTGCCTTATGGGATTAACTCGAAATCGAGGATTTATGTGTTGATTAACTAGCTCAGTGACATTTGAAAGAAGTGTTGTGTTAATTATGTCCAAAATTTCTAATACCAATTGTTGATAATTCAAGAATCACGTATTGTTTGATACTACTTGATATGAAATCAACCGATGGATTGAGATGTTGAAGTTATATGGTACAATAATGAAGTATTTGATCACAAGCAAAAGAATAAAAGAAGACAAGAAAATATGGCAAAGAAATTATGAGATTTTATTGCACGACAAATAATGAAGATGGAGAAATATTACAATAATCCTAAAAGCAAGTAATCACTTTTCTCACACTATTCTCACACATAAAATTATAGAGAAGAACCAAGTATATATAGGCGACTATGTAGGGCACCGTTCAAACCCTAATAAATGAGTTGTAGTGAAAGTAGAATGTCAAAAACGTGTTAAAACGCGAAAAGGGCATGGGCCAAATAACCCTATCGCTCGCGTGATAAGCTAACGATAGGTTAGTCGCTCGAGCGACAAGCCAGCGACCAAGTCTCAGGAGAAAACCTGCAAATGTTGCTTGAGTGACTAGCTTGCTGTAGGCTAACAAAAATGCAGTGACTTTTCTTCTCGGTCCATAATTTCAACATCTTCAAGTCCAATACAAATTACAACTCCCGATAGGGCTTTCAAATAGAATTTCAACTTGAATAAAACTCTAATAGCATTCCAAACTAAATTCATTTTGACGTACTCTTCAATTACTTCAACAACGAATTCGGGTCACACCCAAATTTTAACAATCTCCAACTTGATACGAATTCCACTGTAATGAACAAAACTCTAAAATTTCTCCACTTAGAGAAGAAAATCCATCTGCAAGGAATAAATTGACTCTTCAACAATAACCAAAACTAATTTCTCCAGCCAAACGCAAAATATTCTACCTCTTTCAATGAATCCAAGCACTACTCTGCAGAATTACCTCAAATTTTCAAAAAATCATAATGATTTTAAAATTTATCAAACTGGACTATAACACACCCCAAACCTGAATCAAATACAAATGCTTTTAAAGAAGGTCATTTACTAGATTGTACACTTTCTACTATGCTGAAAGCATACTCAACAAAATCAGCATCCACATACATTATCCCATTGGGTTCGTTTCTAGCAATAGAATATAGTGGCACCGCAGGTGATGGTGGCACGGCAACATTATTCATATCTCATGAACTCCACTGAACTATATTCTTCAAATCCGACCCTTTACGAGCTCCTAAATGTATTGTACCAAACTGAATGTCCACCACGATATTAAACTTGTACTGATTGACTTTTCTAGATTCTGCACGATCGTGCAAAATGTATAACTGGGACATTTTTCGTCCCTCCAATACAACATGAACACCCTTACAAACTTCTAAAACTTCACCTCAACCAAAGAACTCATAACATTTTGAAATAAAGATAGACAACGAAATGTGATTCTTCTTCAAATCCGGAACATGTCGAACATGACCAAGTGTTTTAATTGTCTTATCCAATAGCTTCAATATGACCGTACCAATTTCAGCAACCCAATAAGGTATGTTGTTTCCCATAATCACGACACATTTGGAAATGATTTCGTATGTAATAAATAAGTCCTTATTAGGACACATATGAAACACACACGCTGAATCTAGAATCCAATCCTCCTCTAGTTTAGACTTGATGTCAGAAATAGTCAAAAGATCTCCCTCACTTACAATGTTCTCTGCGAGGTCTACTTCACCTAAAGTCTCTGATTGCTTCCCATATCGACTTGTAGCTAACCTTTCTTTATTCTGTAATTTGTAGTAATCATTCTTCATGTACTCCTTCTTATTGCAGAAGTTACAACTCTAATATCTGAACTTAGACTTCGATCAGCTCCTTCCAAAACCACCATGAGCAACAAGGCCTTCTCTATCTTTGGCCTCAGACACCAGATATTTTATCTTCTCTTTTGAAAATAAAGCATCATACACCGTCTCTATGGTCAAAGTATAATGACTATACAAGATCGTGTTTCTAAATGAAGAAAACGAAGGGAGGAACGAACACAATAGGATCAAGGCCAAATTTTCTTCATCATACTTTACTTCCAAAGTTTTCAAATCAACAACTATCTCCTTAAACACGGTCAGGTGATCTTTCAATGACCCTCCTTCTGCCAGTCGATGAGACGCTGCTTGAGATACAACTTGCTTGTCAGACTTTTAGTCATGCATAATTACTCAAACTTCAACCACAAAGCAGCTGTTGAACCATCCTTCAAAACATCCTGAAGAATGGTATTCGATAAATGAAGATGAATATGAGAAACTATCTTCTTATCCTTCCGTAATTTCTTCTTCACGGTCAAAGTTGCGGGCATCTTGTTAATTCCCAACAACGCATCATCCAAATCCTATTGTGCGAGTACTATAAGCATCTTAACCTGTCATAACGAAAATATAATACTTCGATTCAAAAGCGGAATGTCGTACTTCATGGAAGTTATCACTAACAAAAAATCTTGAACAAATCAAACACTGCACTCTTGCGGAACTACTGAACATAGGCTCTGATACCACTTGTTGTATTAATTACGCCTTAAATCTCTGATACCAATTGTTGAAAATTCAAGAATCACGTATTGCTCGATACTATTTGATATGAAACCAATCGCTGGATTGAGATGTTGAAATTATATGGTACAATAATAATGAAGTATTTGATCTCAAGCAAAAGAATAAAAGAAGACAAGAAAATATGGTAAAGGAATTATGAGATTTTATTGCACCACAAATAATGAAAATAGAGAATTATTACAATGATTCTAAAAGCTAATAATCATTTTTTTCACACTATTTGCACACATAAAATTGTAGAGAAGAGTCAAGTATATATAGGTAACTATGTAGGGCAACGTTCAAACCTCAATAAATAAGTTGTAGTTGAAGTAAAATACCAAAAACGTGTTAAAACGCAAAAAGGGCCTGGGCCGAATAACCCTGTCGCTCAAGCGATAAGCTAGCGACAGGTCCATCGCTCGAGCAATAGCGAGGGACCAAGTCTCGAGAGGAAACTTGCAAGTGATGCGGCGACTTTTCTTCCCGGTTCATAATTTCAATAATCTTCAAGTTCAATACAAATTACAACTCCCAATAGGCTTCCAAATAAAATTTCAACTTGAATAAGACTCTAATAGCATTCCAAACTGAATTTCTCTTTACGTCCATTTCAATTAAAAATTTTCAATTACTTTAATAATGAATTACACCCAAATTCTAACAAGAAGTATTATTGAATTCGCAAATTTGAGTTTTTGACATATTAGAACGCATGTAACATGTACTAAAATCTTAATTTTTCTCTAGCATAATTTGCAATAGAGGGAATGTGCCCGCAATTTTGTCTAAACTGAAAAGGGTTCTTATTGAATACTCGACAACAGCAACAAGTCGCTATATTTTGATGGGAATCTGTATCCTTCTTGGATGGCAGAGATAAGTGTAGGCTGTAGCATTATGGTGAACGTTCAGAAAGTTAATGGTAACTGATGAGTCTGAATACATGCCATTTTCGATGCATCAAGTCTGTTAGGAGAAAAACAGGCTACAATCTTGTTTATAATATCCAGTGCTAATGGTACTTTTGCATCTGAAGCAGTGGTTTCTTTTGGGAAGAACCAAAAAAAATAACAAAAAGGGGTGGCCTGTCGAGGATGATGTCATTTCCTTTTGTTTTCTTAAACTATTTTCTCGACAGCCCAACAATACCTTTTCTGACTTCTCTGACGCCCCCACCATTGTCCTCTCCACTCCCTTGTTACCTTTGTTTTTACATAATTAAACATCAGACAGTTCCCCCAGCCCTTTCTCAGCATTCCCTTTTCTTTGCTTCTTTCAAGTCTAAATTGGGGTTTCTCTATGTTTCGTTAACAAGGACAACCATAGCCTTGTTTTTTTCCATATGATGAAGTACTGAATCTGCTCCACTCAAAGAGTATTTCTGCAAATTACTGTCTGGTTAGTTAGTTCTGCATGTGTTGATTTTCTAGTATTCCCAGCAGTATCTGATGAAGCTTTTATTCTATCTATGTTTTTCTTTTATTTTCTTCGAGTTTATTAGCCTATAAAATCTGGTCAAGAATATCACCGATCTATGTTGCCTTATTTTCCTTGACAAGATTTACCTTATACCTGTTTGCATATTTTGTTTGAGCAGTGAAGTTGGTGTGATGTCTTGGAATCATTTTGGCTTCCCTATAATTTCCTTCTTTGTCGTGTTAACTGTTAGTGTAAAAGGGAAAATCAGATCAGAGCAAAGATTTATCAGAAAGTAACGTGTCATGTAAATTTAATTAACCCTAACTATTACGCAGACACAGGATTTCATTTGTAGAACTGAATTTGGACAGTTAGTTGATTGGATGGTATCATTTTTACAAGTATAATTAGTAGTAAGTCACTTTGTGCCGAGTTTCAGGGTGTTTTATCTTGTAAATACCGAGCAACAACAATTATGTTCTCAATGTGATGATTTCTCTCAAAATGTAGTGGAGGGAAATGTTTTAATAATGAACATGTCTCCATTTTTGTTCTGTTTTATGTTGTCTCAAAATCATTTCTTTTGATTCAGAATGATGTGATTATTGCATCACTGGACCTACATGTTCTGATCTTTACATTTACAGTTGTTTCTCCTGCTTTTTCTTTCAATTCACTGCACGAAAATACACCATTTGCAACACATAAAAGGCAACATTTGGTAGTTAAATGTTGCTAAAGGGATCTATCGCAACATTCTAATCCGTGAATGTTGCCATTGCTTAACAAAATTGAGTATTTGCAACATTTTTTAAGTGAATGTTGCTAATATTGCATTTTCGCAACATTTTTTAAGTGTTGCGAAATTTTTTTATTTTTCGCAACGTTTTTTAAACGTTGCGGAAGACAGAGCTTTTCACAACGTTTAAAAAACGTTGCAAAAAGCGTCTCACAATTTTTTTTTTCCTGATCTTTGCAAAAAATGCTGGTTTCTTTAAATCAAACCAATTAGCCCTAACTTTCCTCTTCCTCCCCATCTCTACCTCAACTCTCTTCTTCCCCCCTACTCTCTGGTTGTCCGTAAAAACCTTGTGATACCCAAAAGATCAAAAAATATTCATCATATGCCTTCAAATATGACTTCTCATTCCTCTTCTCGCAATGCTCCGACGTCGTTTCTAGGTCTGAAGAACTCTCAGATCAAGTATTCGAAATGCTAAATCTGATTTCCAGGTCCGAAGAACTCTCGATCAAGGAGCAATTTTGGTTACTCCATATCAATAGCCAATAGGTACGAATTTCAACCCCATCCCTCAAAATTAAATGAACATTGCTGTCTTGACTCTCTCTCTCTCAAAATCGAAATCAAACTTCTTGTGCGGCGTTTAAAAAATGTTGCAAAAAAGGTCTTTTGCAACGTTTAAAAAACGCCGCAAAAGACCTTTTTGCAGTGTTTTTTAAACGTTGTCGTATCTCTTCCCTCTTTGGCAACACTGAACTTAATTTGCAACACATGATAAAATGTTGCAAAAGGCCTTTTTTGGCGTAGTGATTAAATCTTAAATATCCATTATATGCAGGGAAGATATCAGCCTCAAGCTGTCGGCTGGCACTCGGATACTCCATGCTGGTATTTGCTTATTGACAACATGACCTGATCATTTTGCTTCTTGGATGCCCAGAGAATTATGAAATCCCAAGGATTTGATCTTGAAGCGGAGCCCTCCGTAGAGAATGATTCTGATGTTAGTAGCCAAGTTGCTTCCAACATATCAATCCAAGATAGGCTTACTGACTTCAAGCATGAATTGGATCCGGCAAACATTCAATTGAATTCACAATCCACCTCCCTCGACTTATCTCTCAACTTCAGATCAAACAAGAATCAGTTAGACTATAACAAATCCATGGGATTTCTGATATCTAGCACAAGTGAGAGTTGTAATGAACCCGCAATCCTAACCAGAGAAGTGTTCCCTCCACGAGCCTTTTCCTGCAATTTCTGTCAACGAAAGTTTTTCAGTTCACAGGCACTTGGGGGCCATCAGAATGCCCATAAGCGAGAAAGGACACTGGCAAAAAGGGCTACACAAATGGGCATTTTTCCTGAGAGGTTTACTAGTGTGGCATCTCTGCCTTTGCACGGTTCCCTATCCCGATGTCTAGGAATAAAAGAGCATGCTTCAGTGCATCAGGGCTTTGTGCCACCAATGAGGCCATTTGAATTTAGAGCCAGCACAAGATTTGAAGATGGCTACACGAGTCAGCCCATATACGTGGAGGATGACAATTCAAAACTGCTATGGCCTGGTAGTTTTCATCAGGTATCTACCGAAAATATTTCTCATCCACTATTTGTACAGGTTGGATCTTCAAATGGAAATTTTGTCGAGACTAATGCTTCTCTGGATAGAGATGAATCTACACTAGATCTCACACTCCGACTCTGAGATGTTTGATTGACTGAAATGGCTTCATAGTGTAGCAATACTATACGTCCACAGCCAGACAAGAATTGAGTAAGCGACAAGTGTACTTTGAGTCGATCTAAAGTGAGGTGTCTTAACTTCAAAATTCATGGATACTAGACTTCAGAAAACTTTGGACGATGATTTGAGCTTCTTCACAAGGTCAGATCATCTATTTATCAATCCCTGAAAATTGATTTATTCTCCAAGCAGCTACATTGGATTGTAGATTGTTGTTGTAATTTAGCTATATAGTTTCGACTCTCTTGGTTATGAATTGGTACTGATTTGAATGGATTTAGATGTTGACAACTATTTATCTTCCTTACTACCACATTTGTTGCAATGAATTGATCCATTTAACTGTTTGCAAGTTATAGCAATTTCTTTCTGGTAATCTAAGTGAATATCTACTAAAACAAGTAATGCTTGTGAGTTAAATTAGAACTCTCTTTGTTCTGTATTAGGAACAAGGATGTGTACATATTCAAGTGTGTTATGTGAGGGTCATGGGATGTGAGATGCAAGAGCCATCGAATTTTATTAGATATATACACAAATACGTGGAAAATGTTAGTTGGTCACGATTCAATTGGATGCATGATTTGTCTATGGTACCGTCACTAGTGGTATCAAAATGAGTCGACAGTCCATTTGTACTGTTTGAATTCACAACAAAATATATAAAAATTAAAGGAGGACAGAAACATTGAGTTAGGGTTTTTGTTGGAGCAGAAATATCAAAGAAGGTACGAAGATGGGTTTTGCATAGGCTATATTGTGTCTAGATAGACATTTTTATTTACCGGGGCTAGAGTGTAGAAATCCCGACCGAAGGTTTAATTTTGTAAATGAGGTTAAAACAGTAAATTTTATCATTCTAAACTCTAGACAAATCAATTTAGTCAAAATGACGTAACTCAATTACCTTCTACTTTTAACCAATTCCCGACATAAATTGGAAGTAAATGTACTTGAAATCGAGATTCAAAATCACATTCTTTTGATAATGTTGTAACTCAACTTTCAAACAGTTAAATATCTAGCAGTGTAAAATCGTGAAGATAAAACTTCTTTACAAGCTTGCAAATATTATCCATATTAAATGATTCAAAAGAATGTTTTGAATCCAAAGCTACATTGAGAGAAAAGAGTTTTAATGATGTTTCATTAAAAACTATGGCTATTGAAAATATCAAAGTGGTAATGATGTTCAATGGTAAGATACTCACGATCACGAGAACGATCAACCATGTACGAACCATCAAAGTCAGGTTTATGTATAACATTTTTTTAGCAGAAAAATTTCACCTCTTTAAGAAAATCTTCCTTGCCATCTTCTCTCAATGCTTGAAGGATAGTTTTGTAGTATAGACAAATTTCATAGTAATTAAAATGTCTTGGTGTTTTCTGAAGGGCCTGACAAAGCAAATCCATAATTACCAACATTCTATGCATGACAATGCTCTTGCATTCTTGATAGAAAGTCGACCTTCTTCCATATTAAAATCTAAAAGCATAAAAACCAAAACACTTCAATATGACAATATCCCATAAACGTTACTTGATAAAACCATAAAAATATCCATAAACGTTACTTGATAAAATCATAATTATAAATTCATTCATAGTGTAAAGGCTCATAACTTAAAATTTTCCTTTCCAAAGCATAAATTCATATCCCTCTAGAGAAGTACTGTAGTCTATTTATTTAGTGGGCCATTATTCAAATAATCTTAACATAATTCATAAACCCAACAAAATATGCAGCCTTGGGATGAAATTGGAAGAAGGTAAAAACATTCATTGGGCAATTCAAACACTTTCACAATCCATTATTCTGTTCAAATAATCATAATAAACCTAACAAAAAATGCAGCCTTGTGATGGAAGAAGGCAAAAACATTTGCGGGGCTGCCATCATGCATGGAACTTCAGCCAAACCAATAGGCAATTTGTGGTTGAAAATATAAAAATACTTTGCCCTTGTTTGGGCTCCATTAAAATCATGTTTTGGAGAAAATTGTATTTTGAATGGTGATTTTTTTTTTTTTTAAAGAATGTGTAGTTAAAAAAGAAAGAAAATTTATAAATTTACATATAACATTATTTTATTGAAAAATGTGTGGTTGAAAAGAAAAGAACGAAAAATATATTTTCAATAAAATGGAGCCCAAATAGGGGCTTATAGTTTACAATAGCTACGATTTCGATTGACGGCCGACAGTCAACTGAGTATGGACTAAAATTAAAGTTAAAAGAATTTGAGAATTTCAAT